TGGGGGACCCCTGGCCTCCCCCAGCAGACCAGGGAGACGCGGAGCAGCTTTTCTCGCCCCGGAGGATGCGGGCGGCGGGACCGCGGCGCGTCTGGGTGGTCCCGCCGCCCGCGTCCTCCGGGGCGAGAAAAGCCCCTTTCGTAACTACGGATCCGACATAAGTTGGATCTGCGTAAGTCGGGGACTGCCTGTAGTTAGAAGGATTTGTGCCTATCCTAGGGCAAAATATACTCTTTAAATATATTTTTATTGGGTATTAAACTGGTACAAAACTTGAAAAACCAAGAGAATGCTGTAGCTTTGACTAACAGTTTCTAATCATTCGTTTTTATTTATGAGGGGGATCTAGCATCTTTTGAGTACAAATATCAGTGCTCTGGTTAGCAATCTTTCTGGTGTTCTACCCCTGTGAATTGGTTTAAATCAGGGCTACTCAAGTTTGGAAGGCCCGGGGCCACAATGATACTCTAAGCACATGCCAAGGGCCTCAGCTTAAGTGTGGTTGCTTATCCATGCAAATATATATGCAAACAGCTTCTTTCACACTGACGGGCATGAATTCAAAGATTTATTGGTTTATTGGTTGACTCTACGTAATTTCAGATATTACAAACTTTTTTGCAAAGCAAATGAAGTTTCATCTTCAAATTATTTTAATAATGCATATAGTAGTTACATCTTCAAAGCACTGACAAACATGACTAAAATTATTTTTAAAGTTATCCTTGCTAAAGAACTTCAGTTATTATACAATACCTCCCATAAATTGTGTGCACGCACAAGTGTAATACAAATGTAAAAATGCAGTATTGTGGTAAAAAGCACCCTTCTAAAACCACCAAGAATCACAGAACACTGGAACTGGAAGCGACCCCGAGAGGTCATCGAGTCCAGTCCCCTGCCCTCATGGCAGGACCCAGTATTGTCTAAACCATCCCTGATAGATGTCTATCCAACCTGCTCTTAAATATCTCCAGAGATAGAGATTCTACAACCTCCCTAGGCAACTTATTCCAGTTTAACCACTCTGACAGTTAAGAAGTTTTTCTTAATGTACAACCTAAACTTCCCTTGCCTCAGTTTAAGCCCATTGCTTCTTGTCCTATCCTAAGAGGCCAAGGAAAACAATTTTTCTCCCTTCTCCTTGTGACACCCTTTTAGATACCTGAAGACTGCTATCGTGTCCCCCCTCAGTCTTCTCCTTTCCAAACTAAACAAGCCCAGTTCTTTCAGTCTTACTTCATAGGTCATGTTGTCTAGACCTTTAATCATTCTTGTTGCTCTTCTCTGGACCTTCTCCAATTTCTCCACATCCTCCTTGAAATGTGGTGCCCAGAACTGGACACAATACTCCAATTGAGACCTAATCAGCACACAGTAGAGTAGAAGAATGACTTCTTGTGTCGTGCTCAGAACACCCCTGTTAATGCATCCCAGAATCGTGTTTGCTTTTTTTGCAACAGCGTCACACTGGTGTCTCATATTTAGCTTGTGGTCTACTATGACCCCTAGATCCTTTTCAGCAGTACTCCTTCCTAGACAGTTGCTTCCCATTCTGTTTGTGTTAAACTGATTTTTCCTTCTTATGTGGAGTACTTTGCATTTGTCCTTATTAAACTTCAGTCTATTTACCTCAGACCATTTCTACAATTTGTCAAGATCATTTTGAATTATGACCCTATCCTCCAAAGCAATTGCAACCCCTCCCAGCTGGGTATCATCTGTAGACTTAATGTGTACTCTCTATGCCAGTATCTAAATTAGCAGTAATTAATACCTAATCAATATTTTTGTATCCACTCTGCTTTCTGTATGGTCAGAAATATGTTAAACTATTGTTAAATCATCTGATATGAGAAAACTAAGCAAAAAATATTCAGTCTTTAATGGCCATTGCTTATATACTGTATGAGATTTTTTCAGCAGTATCTAAGTCAGTGGTTCCCAAACTTTTCAGCATCATGCCCCCCTTTCTGATTTTTGAAAAACTGTCAACCTCCCCACCCCCTCAAAAACCCACATTATTAAGCAAAAAAAAAAAAAAAAAAAAAAAAAGAACTGAGCCGGGCAGCAAAACTTGATGGGGACCCTCGTGCCCTGCCCTGGAATTTCTTCACACCCCACGCTCCCCAGTTTGGGAACCCATAATCTAAGTGATTTAGGATTACAAATCCTATAGAAAAAATTTGCATCACATACTTTAGGTTAAAATAACATATTTTGAGAAACAAAACAGTTTCAGTTTAAAACAGAGTATCTTAACACTGGATTTTGTTGAGAACTTTATATGGTTTTGTTGAGTAGTTTGTATGGCATACTTCTTATGTAAACATATTTCATGACCTTTATAAAATCCAGTAAAAATCTGCTTCATAATGGAGCTTTGGACAGATCCTTTTAGACTACTGTTCAGCATTGCTACAGTTCTATAAATGTACTGAATGTATACATATTGTCATACTTGTGTAGTATTCTTGAATTACAGATATTAAGGGTATGTTATCTTTTTTTTTTCTTTAAGGAAATGATCATTGACAAGGTAAATGGACAAGTTGTTCCTCGGTACTTGATATATGACATTATTAAATTCAATGTAAGTACTTTAAATTTTACTACTTTTGATTAACATCTAATAACTAAAATTAAGACAGAAATTATGTTTGCATAGGTAAGAGCCAGAAAGCTCATTTTGACACCCAAAGTGATTGGACAATGTGCAACTAGGGATGTTAAATTTAGTTTAATCAACTAATAGAATAGTCAATAGATTTTCTATCAATTAGTCAATAAGTAGGGGAGCTGCAGTGGGGTTAGCTCCTGGGCCAGGAGCTATCTCTGCTGTGGTTCTGCGTTTAAAAGTATTAAGAGCCTGCTAGTTCCTGGCTCGTACCTAGTCGCTGCTCCCCCCCGCCTCCCATGCTCCTCGCAGAGATGGTGCTCGGGGGAACTGGCTTTTAAGCCGGCTCCCCCAGCACCGGCTCCTGCTCCCCCCACCTTGCTGCCTCTAATAGAGGCATCAAGTGTGGGGGAGAAGAGACTAATTGAGGGACTAGTCGACTGTCCGATAAGCTTTTGCTTATCAGATAGTTGACTAGTCACTTACTTCCATGTGTACAACCCTGTTGATAGCAGTACAGGAGGAGGGAAACTAAAAGTACCTTGAATCAGGCAAAGCACATTTGAAAGCTGTCTTAATAATGCTTTTTGCTTGGTCAATGGAGACTTGATCTATGAGAGAAGTCTGTGTGTTGTCTCAGAACTTCTGCAAAATACTGTTCAGAAACTCCTTCTTTCTACAACGGGTATGAACTTGGTTTGGGTATGTTGGTTATAACTTAGCGATATTTCTGTACAGATCTGTCTATAGAGAAACAATATATTTATAGCTTATTTGGGACCATTTTAATACAGAACAACTTTTGTGAGTTAAAGAGATGGCAAAAATATTTAGTTTATGTGTTACTTTCAGATTCTGTCTTAATTTGATTGGAGTGGTTACATATGGGTTAAAGAGAGAACCTTTTAGGCTTATGCTAGAAATAATGATGAAATAATACAGCTGAATTGAAAGCTCTGCCAATAGTCCTGATTTGACCGGGGCAAAACCATTCCATCTAATGTCCTGGTACTGTTTTCATGTATGAGGGTACATCTACACAGGGATAAAAGACCAGTGACTGGCCTGGGTTAGCTGATTCAAGCTTATGGGGCTTGAGCTGTGGGGCTAAAAAATTCTGTGTAGATATCTGGGCTTGAGTTGGAGACCAAGCTCTGAGACCATCCACTCTTACATGGTCTCAGAAATCAGTATCTGTCCCGAGCCCATGATTTTTTCTCCTCCAGCATAAACAGCTACTTTTCCAGCCCACCGGGTCTTTTTTTAATCTTTGTTTATATGTAACCTGAGAGTCTGCAGAGGCCATGCTAGGGCACTACAATTGTGTCTATAGTATTATTAGTTTGGGCTATTGCTGGCATAATCTTTGTCATTTGGGCTGTCAGTAGGTGAGCTGGTACTGTTGTAGTGGGCCCTTATCCAGTTGAGAGAAATACACTGCACCTTCTTGGCTGCTCAGTGTCCTCTTCTTCATATTCTTCTTTTAGATTTAGGCAGATTTAGGCTTCTGAGTTCTGTATTCTGCAGGTGTGTCTCATAAACTACTACATACTGAGGCCAGAGAGAGGCAGAAATCAGTCCCAGAGACCAGAAAAAGGAGCTGTTGAGTAGAGGGGAAAGGCATAAGGAGGGGAGAATGGGTAAGCCATCGTGAAGAGCTATGGGAGCAACTGCAGAGTGTGATAGCTGGGAAAAACAATGTAGATGTAGCCTTCTGTATTCTGCAGGTGTGTCTCATAAACTACTACATACTGAGGCCAGAGAGAGGCAGAAATCAGTCCCAGAGACCAGAAAAAGGAGCTGTTGAGTAGAGGGGAAAGGCATAAGGAGGGGAGAATGGGTAAGCCATCGTGAAGAGCTATGGGAGCAACTGCAGAGTGTGATAGCTGGGAAAAACAATGTAGATGTAGCCAGAGCATCTAGATGTCTGCAAGACACTTAGGGGGCTGGTGTATTGTCTTAGTAGATTTTTTTTTCTTTTTCTCTCAAGAGTTAAGAAAAATTATCTTAAAATCACCAGTGTAAATAGAACTATCAGTTGGCTGGGATCTGTGACCCTCAACGACTCCTCCACTCCCTCCAATTAATTTGTGGAGTTGGCCCTGGCAAAATGTTTCACATGTTGGCACCAGGGCCGGACGGAGGCATGGGCGAGCCAGGCAGCTGCCCAGGGTGCCAACCGATGAGGGGCGCTTAAGGCAGCTGTAAGGGGCGCGCGGCGTCCCTTACAGCTGCCATCAGGTGCCACGCGCCCAGTTTCCGCAGTGCCAGCCCCATGGCGCTGGCCACCAGCGCCCTTCTCCCCACGGCCACGGGGCCCTGCACGGCCCGGCATGCCTGCCAGCAGCACACACTGGGCCAGGCTGGGCAGCTCATGCGCTGTGCATCCTGGGGGGCGGGCCTGCACCCCACGGGCAGGCCTACGCATGCACCGTGCGCCCAGGAGCGGCGCCGTGCACCCGGGCCCAGAGCTCCAAAAGGACTTGGGCCGGCCCTGGTTGGCACTAATACTTGTGTGGGTTTTACATTGACTGATTTGTGTTACACTTATGAATGAGAAAATTAGTGCTCAGAAAAAGGTCTGAGTAAAACATATTAATATATTTAACATTTTTGTGAAGTAATTTTGAATAGTTGCATGAAAATAGTACAACACTAAACTTTAGTTAGATATTGTACAAAAGTACAGTAATATGGTGTTCACTTACATTTCATGAAATTTGGAAGAATACAGTATTTTTAATACTCCTGTGTATTATATTGACAGTTCTGATTCTAAGTCATATACTGTAAATGGAGTGTTAATTTATCCTGATGCTATGCAGTCCTCTTCCCAAAACACCTTCCATCATGCACATACACACCAGCACCTACCATATACCTACAATTGAGGTAGTAGTTCTTGAAATGATTTGTAAGTATCTGGAGGCATGAAGTGGAAATATTGAAAGAAGATTAAGATTTTTCTTAAATATTTTCCTATCTGTATTGGGAGAGTGAATGAGTGGTGGTATAGGGATCACTGCATTACTTATTTTATAAATGGTTAGTCCATCTAAAACAGTGGAAGGCCTTGATTGAGTGCATGATGAACACTATGAAAACCAAACAACTCTGTATTTTAGTTTCAGTTTATTATAGGGTACTGATAAGCTTTATATCTGTATTAGTTGGTCCTGAAATGGCCCTTATGCATCCTACTAATAATTGTTCTTCTTTGACGGTCCCTATGGGTGCTCCACTTAGGTGTCAGCACTGCTGCACACGTGGCCTGGAGATCTCTGCTAGCAGTCTCCTGGCTGCCGGCAGGTGCTACGCTATTGCACAGTCACTGAGAATGACAGGTGGGCATGCTCCGGCGGCCGTTCTCTTAGTTCCTTCTCTTCCACTGCTGGCATCGTTTGCACTTCCACCAGTCTCCCAAATGCCAAAGGAAAAAAACCAACAACAACTAATAATAGCATCAAATAATAGAGTGAGAGGAAATGGAAAAGGGATAGCTAGCGGGTGAAATGGCATGTGTCCACTTCAGCTGTGGTCCGCTCCTCTGTGAGCAGCATGCAGGTAACTCTGTCATGTCAGCACACCTGGCAAGAAAGGATAGCAGGTGAAGCGGTGCATGGGAGCCTTTGCTGCATCCCACCTGCTGAAGAGACAACGGGGAAAGAAAAGAAAAAGAAAAAGTCTGTTCTGCCTGCATCTCTTGGGCCAGACCATCTTCTCAGTCTCTGCCCGCGTTGTTACAAGCTCGCCCATGCTCCCAGAGGGCGACAGGGTGACAGCATCACATGGATGACTTATATTTTGTAGAACATGGATGAATCACAGCCCCATTCGACCCCTCCTGCCCTCCAAGATAACCCTTTTGAGGAGGAAGGCAGGACGAGCACGCCCTCGCAGGGACCTGCTGGAGAGCAGAACCTGGAGTGAAGTGCTTAACGCTCCCTGTCCCTCACTGAGCCTCAGCCTCTCACAGATAAAAGGACAGATAGGCTGATCAGAGTGCCAGGCAGGGCTCTTAAAAGTGGGACGAGGGCTCCGGCTTACTGAAAAAACTGTGACTATAATATGAAGCACTGAACAGCTGTCCACGCTTCACGCTCTCCACACATTAACGCGGTACTGGTGGGAAACATGGTACCGCAGAGCAGCCAGCAAGCCAACAAGCTGCAGTGCAATGGAATGCCACGCTTAAGCACATGCTCGATACTGTCCATACTGATGCGCTTTACAGTACCAATGGTACCCACACGGGCAGCTGTATGGGATTGCATAGCAGTGCGTCTGCTTACTCCGGTACCAAGCTTGTGACAGGCAGCCCTTGCAATAGAATTGGTACAGTGCTCACCACTAGTCAGTACCGATGGCACCCCACAGGCTAGAGGTTCCCTGTTCTTTGCAACACCAGCATCACATATATCTGCTTGATTTTGTGATGATGAGGAGGGGCAGCCAGTTAGCCAGCACAGAGTCCCTCTATATATGGGACCGCAACAACTGCGGGGGCGGAAAGAGCATAGGGCACAGTGGATGCCTCCACCAATATCTCTCCACGAGCCTACTGGGACTCTCGGGCACCGTACTGACCCAACAGTTCAGCACATGATGGAGGAACACAGTCTCCCGCATCACCAGTCAGATGGGGTGACTTTGGAAGGTTCCATGTCTGTTCAGGAGGGTTGCGGAGACATTTGCCGTAAAACTATCCGACATCGTGTTACCATCGGCCAGGAGAGTGGCAGATATAGCAGCACTCCTGGCGGACCCATACATCAGTTTCCACGAGGACAAATTTGTCCTTAGAACCCACCGAAATTCCTCCTCAATACCCCTACCTCATTCCATTGTAACGAACGATATACCTATCTGTATTCTTCTCGAAACTACACAACGACAGCCCAGTGCTGTGCACACTGAATGTATGCAGGACATTAGCCCTTTACCTGGAACGCACAAAAGATTCTCGAAGAACACCT